GAAGATTCTTATTCATTTTAACCAATCTGGGTTGACTAAAGAGATAAGAGTATGAGACCATAATGGATGAGCATGGTTTTCCTTTAAAATAGAGTGTAGCCCTGACCGGTTTGGCTCAGTGGATGGACCCAGGTTCGGTTCCGGTCAAGGGCATGTACCTTGGTTGCGGGCACATACCCAGTGGGTTGTGTGCAGGAGGCAGCTGATCGATGTTTCTCTCTCATCGATGTTTCTAACTCTCTATCCCTCTCCCTTCCTCTCTGTAGAAAATCAATAAAACTTATTAAAAAAAAACATTTAAAAATAAATAAATAAAATAGAGTGTATTTATAGATACTATGTACTAGTTCTGTACTGGCAGCCTTAACTTTCTTTTCCTTGTTAAAGGTAAAATCACATCTCATTACTGTACAGAATGAGATGTAAGCCAGTTCTTGCATTCAGGTCTTTGCTGATGCCCTTATATGAGTGCCACTCAGATTTCAATGAAAGACTCTCAGGTTTTCCTGGCCATAATAATGAAACACGGCCCTGCCCTGGCATGATTTCTAGTGCCCAGTTCTTACCTTCGTTCTCATCTACTTGTCTTACAGTATTGCAAACACTGACCTCCCAAATGGATCTCTGTCATCACATAATATGTGGTGGTTTCTGATAACGCAGAAGCCGTGCCCGTGGAGTAGGAACACACATATTTCTAGCTTTGGCCTCCGTAGAAGAATCGATTTCCATTCACACAGCACAGCAGTTTTGTGTGTGTGCTCAGGGGACTCTAACAAAATTGGAGGCAAATGAAAACTTTGCAAGGACAAAGCCACCTTTATTTCTTTTACGCTGGAGGGAAAGGCTTGGGCACCCAGGTGGAAAATATAATCTGGCAAAAAATATGAGGGTCATTAATTTTCATTTAGCTATAAGCATATTTTGGATTAACTCAGTTGGTTAAAATTAAAAAGGCCATAACTACTAAGCACTTTCTTTTTCTTGTCTTTAGTTGCATTACTTAGTGAATATATATAACAGACACCCCCTAACCTCCCAGAAAAGAGCTTGTGGTAGCTGTGAACATCATAGCATCTGTCCAGCCCAGAGACCAGGTTGGGTTCTGGCCTTCAGCTCACTTTATATCAAAGGTTTAATCTTTCGAAAATGTGCTTTGGAACGACAAGATCACTAGTTTGTCTCAAGGTGCGCTAGCGAACACTCCCTCCTCCAAGTCATTGCCGCACAGAACTAGGCGCTTAGTGGTCCTTCTAGGTCAGTGGTTCTCAACCTTGGCTGCACATTAGAATCGCCTGGGAATCTTTTTAAAATCCTGATTTCTGGGCCTCATCCTCCGGGGCTGGCTCTTCAGGAGAAAAATGGCTGTGTAGGTTTAGAGCAATTCTGTTTCGTTACTAATGTTGTGGCCCCACCCCATAACAAAGAAACAGAATTTCCAGGGGATGAGGCCCAGAAATCAGGATTTTAAAAAGATTCCCAGGCGATTCTCATGTGCAGCCAAGGTTGAGAACCACTGCAATAGTGGATGCGTTTGTCATCCCTGCTTCTTAAAACATCTCCTTGACAAATCGGTGTTTAAACTTCTTTTCATTAAATGAACACAAATATTATTGGTTGGGTTCTGGTTCTTTTTAAACCTGTGTCTGCTTTCTAGTTTTTTCTACCCATGTTTGCAAGAGCTAAACAGACACAGCAGATCTCACAGCCGACATAAGGCTGGGGAGGCACCAGGTCATAATTAATTCAGGCCCCAGTGGCACCCAGTTGGCACCGGAAGAGATCTGACCTTCACGTTGATGTGTTCAAAGCCAGTTATTTCACCCTGGAGCTCAGGGAAGCACCAACTCCTTGGCTGAGATCCTTCCTCTTCCAGTGTCGACGCTGTGGGAGCTCAGGGCCTCCCCGGAGGTCTGCTGCCTTTAGCACCGTCCCTTCGGGCAGCCACTGGGGTGCCAGGCCGGTGGGGCACATGCCAGGTGGGTGTCCTGCTGGGCAAGGCCACCGAGAGCCCTTGGGATGGCGCCACAGCCGTTTAATCATCCTAAGTAGAAGCGTTGTCCTCACAGAGGTAAAGTAGGAAGTCTGCTCCTCACGTCTCCACTTCCGTGCCCACCAGACTGCCATCTCCCCCTCGGGTTCAACGCCTTCCTCTCCTTCTCCAATCGCTTGTGGAACTTTAATTTTCTATGAATAGTAATCACTCAAAAAGTTCCCCTTGCCAATGGGGTTGGTATTTTCCAAATACCAAAGCCTTGGTCTAAAGGGTGAGAGTCAGGTTTCGGGGCTATGAGAGAGGGGAGGGAGATAGAAACATCAGTGATTTCAGAGAGAAAGGAAGAGGGGAGGGAGATAGAAACATCAATGATGCGAGTGAATCATTGATCGGCTGCCTCCTGCACTCCCCACACTGGGGGTCAACCCGGGCATGTGCCCTGACTGAGAATCGAACCATGACCTCCTGGTTCCTAGGTCCACACTCAACCACTGAGCCACGCCAGCCGGGCTCTGAGAGCCTCTTAAAGAAGATTGGGGTGAAGGGGAGGGGCCTGAAATCATCCCATGTGGGTTGTGGATTCTGTCGGTGAGTGAGGGCGGCCCTGCAGATACCACCGGCTGTTCTGGGTCAGCGGGGTGGGGTCTCCACGGGAAACGCTTGGGTGGCCGGGAGTGGCGTGTGAAGCGGCTTCCTGTGAGCGAGACTCGGGCGTGTGTTTGGGCACATAACCAGGAGGGATGGGAGGGTAAGAGGCGTGGGTGATGTGCGGGGGGGAGCACCCACAGGCCTCAGAGCAGGGTTCTCAGACTTCCACGCGCACGAACCCCAGGGGTCTTGGCAAACGTAGGGTCTGCGGCGCTACTTCAGGGGCGTCCAGAGCCCGCTTCTCTGCCAGGCACTGGCGAGTGGGTGCTGCCCGGACCACACTGGGAGTGACAGGCCCTGCAGCGTGGTCCTCAGCATCGGCTGCGGGGTCCCATCTCTGGGGAGCCTTTCCCTCCCCTGGGGCCAGAGTGTCCTCCACCGATGAAGTCAGGCTGAGTGTATGTGGGGCTGAGTGGATGATGGAACTCCTTCCTGCCTCTGGAAACTTACCAGGTGTATGCCGCGGGGTCGCTGTCTGTCCTTTGAGTGTGTGTGGACTAACGTGAGCAGCTACCTTTCTGGTATCAACACTATTTTGAGAAACACAAAGGTTCCCGTGGTTTCCTGCAGCCCCGGGGGGCCTGCTCTGCCTGTGTTCTCCCCGTCACAGCCCTGGCCGGAGCCCGCACGGATATTCTCGCTGTTCGTCACCTGTGGCCTGTGGCCTGTTCCCGCACAGCTGGCTGCCCCAGTTCTCCCGGGCAACCTGCTAGGGCCGTGAGGGTCTACGCGGGGATAAGACGGGGTGTTTTCTCTTCCCGCAGAGCAGGGCTCTCCACCCTGCAACGTCGGAGCCACCCCCGGAGTCTCTGATTTAATGGGTTGGGGAAGGGTCCCTGCATTAGGGGGAGTTTGAAAAGCTCCCTGTGATTCAGGGACGAGAACCAGGCTGTAAGATAACATGGCACTTAAAAAGTAGATGTATTTCTATTTTCTTCAACATTTAAAAAATGATTCTAAAAAATAAGGTCAGACAATAAACAAAACATAGACATTATTTTTAAAATATACACGTAATGATTGCATATATATATATATATATACATATACATATTTATTTATTTATTTATTCCCCACAGCCAATACCTGGTGTTTTTGAGGAGGCCAGTGGGCAAAATGAAGAGATATTTGAGTTCAATTTGCAGTACACCGGACAAAGTGTTCCTGACGTACTATCATTAGGGGCAAAAATAGAATATTGGGGACTGGCTATGGTTATGAGAAATATTAATCATGCTGTCAACTCTGATTGCCTTGTGCTGGTTAAAGAAAGGACATTCTAACCTGGCTGGGAATTGTATGCGCCCCCCCCCCAAAAAAAACCCCCCCCCCCCCCCATGCAGTCCATTCTCATTCAATAGCTGCCTATTATCATGGAAAGATTAACAACCTAGTTGCCCAAACAATGGCGTCCCACCCCAGCCTGCATTGCCTACTCCCTCAAGTAATCTTTGTCCTACTCTATCTAAGCAGCTGGCTTATGGGGGCTGCAGAGCAGATTTTTGTGGGTGACCTGCTGCTCTCCCATGCTGCCTGCAGCGTATATAAATGCTCATCTATGATCCAACCCTGTAATGACAGGCAGCCCGGACCCCTTGGTTGTCCAGCTTCACTATCACCCTCAGTATTAATTAGGGCAATGCTAGCTGCTGTAACAGGTGAAACCAAACCTTTGGATATTGTAACAACATAGCCCAGTGCAGAGTTCCCTAGGCCCATGGTCGGCAAACCGTGGCTCGCGAGCTATATGCAGCTCTTTGGCCCCTTGAGTGTGGCTCTTCCACAAAATACCATGTGGGGGCACGCACATACAGTGCGATTGAAACTTCGTGGCCCATGCGCAGAAGTCGGTATTTTGTGGAAGAGCCACACTCAAGGGGCCAAAGAGCCGCATGTGGCTCGAGAGCCGCAGTTTGCCTACCACTGCCCTAGGCAACAATGTAACAATGTAGCCCAGTGAAGAGTTCTCAGGTGGTCTTCCTGGGCGTGGTCCATCCTTTAAGACCCAGGTTTGTGGCTCCAATGTGTCCCGAGATCGGGAACCCGAGGAGAGAGAAGACAGTGAACAGGACTCTGGGAAGGTTCCCACCCTCTGGGCAGTGCCCGCGTGCTGGCACCCCGTTGGCCAGCGCTCAGTCACATGGCCACTCCCACCTGCCTGGCAAGGAGCTGGAAGGCTAGGGGACAGCCAGCCCTCCGGCCCTCAGCACATTTGTGTGAACGGTGTCAGGAGACGCCCAGAAAGGCGCAGGGACCCCGCGGCCGGGCGTGCAGACCCCAGGCCCCCGAGGTGCGAGGGCCTGCAGAGGAGGTGCTCTGTTAAGGGCGTGTGCTCTTTTTCTTCTTTTCTCCACAGATATCGCAAACGGCAGCAGTTCAGGGGGGTACCGCTCGCCTCCCAGAACCAAAGAAGTCATCATCAATGGCCAGACCGTGAAACTGAAATACTGTTTCACCTGCAAGATTTTCCGGCCCCCTCGTGCCTCTCACTGTAGCCTTTGTGATAACTGCGTAGGTGAGTAGAAGCGAACACCGCCTCTGTCCCCAGCTCTGCTTGTGCTCGAGCGCCTGTGGCTGATGGGGTGGCCGGTTGCCTTTGCTAGAAGGGGTGTGTGCGTCTCTGTAAGCCTGTGAAACCGACACTCAGTAATCGTTAATGTTTCACCGTCTTTGCCTCCTGCCGCTGATCCCGGTCACTGAGCCTAGCGTTACCAAACCCGGTGTTTTCGTCTCTCACACCCTGCAGCACCCCGTCCCGTGCAGTGCCCGAGGCCTCCTCCCTGAGCACGCATACCAGGGGGTTCCCTGTTCCCTGGAGCCGCCAGATCAGCAGGCACTTGACATAAGACCACCTCACCCCGAGGTTCCCCCGTTGCCCAGTGAGCGGCTGCGGGAGTTGCCGGCTATGCTCTCTGTGGTGCCTCCAGGGGCAGCTGGTGTGGGGAGTTGGAGGCATGTGAAGTGAAGGAGAGAAAAAGGGACGGGGGCAGGGGACTTCCGGGCCTACAGTCAGGATTGTCACTTTTCCCAGAGACCACCGAGCCCTCCCGTCTGGCTACTGACTTCCCCCAGGACGGACTAGGGGACGGACAGAGGGAGCCCAGTGGAGCCCAGCGGTCCTCAGCTGCAGGACTCGGCCCTGCTGTTAGGCCACGGCCAGCCCAGCACAGGATTTCTATGACTGACCTGGCTCCCCAGCCCCTTGGAATTTTTTGTCAAGCACTTCCTGTTAAGGAGATGGCAGCAGACCCCGGGCACAGGGAGGGCAGGGAGAAACGGACGAGGGAAGGCCTCGTTGCTCAGCCCCACACCTGCCTCTAAGAGACGTACCCAAGGACATTCCTGAGCACGTAGGCCCCGAAACCCCGCTCCCTCCTGCAGAAAGGACCGGACGCCTCGGAGCAAACTTGTTCCCTCGGTAACACACGATCGATTGCCAACGTTCTCTTTGCATCTGTCAGCATAGGTAGTCTATTCTCCTTGGGGAAAGTAAAGTGGTATCATGTACTTCCTGCTGTGCAAAGCCGTTTTCCTCTTATTTATCTGAAACGTGCTTTATTCTAACTTGAATCCTCTACGGTTGGTTAGAAAGGCCAAGATTCCCCTATCGGGCCTGGTCTCGGTTTTACTGGCCCACATAAATCACCTGTAGCCTCGCTCCCGGCGGGACAGCGTGGAATTTGGTTCAGTCTGGCCCAGGTGGGAAGTAGCCTGTGGTTAAGAGCCTGGAGTCGGGCACCGCATGGCCTGGATGCAGATACGAGCTTTGTGACGGACACGAGCTACTTCAGCTCTCTGTGCCTCGGTTTTCTCATCTCTAAACGGAGTCCATAGCAGTACCTTCCTCGTGGGATGTTGAGAGAATACGTGATTTAACACACGCAGAGCACTTGGAATAGTGCCTGGTGTACAGCGAATGCTCTGTAATTATTAGCACTGTCGCTGTGCTTAATGCTGCTCTCTTCATACTTTTGATTGGCTTTCCCTGGACAGTTTCTTGATCTCCCATAGCAGCGGTTCTCAACCTGTGGGTCGCGACCCCTTTGGGAGTTGAACGACCCTTTCACAGGGGCCGCCTAAGACCATCAGAAAACACATATATAATCACATATTGTTATGTGATTAATCACTATGCTTTAATTATGTTCAATTTGTAACAGTGAAATTGGGGGTCACCACCACATGAGGAACTGTATTAAAGGGTCGCGGCATCAGGAAGGCTGAGAACCACTGTCCTAGAGCCATCTGCGGTGGGAGGACCAAAAGCATACCTGGTCCTCCATGTGAGGGCACATCGGGGTTTCTACAGGGTCACTGACAGCCTTGTTTGGTTTCCCATACCTTCCTGGGGACTCCAGCGCAGGCCCATCTTGAGGACATTTTTAAGCCAACACATCACAGTGGCTTCAGTATCTTCAGGGGAACAATCTAGGGATTTTCAGGACCCTTTTGGGAGCTGTAATTCTGCAGTTACATATATTATGTGATGGAATGTATGTAAGTTACACTTTTTCACATAAAAATCTTCTGATTTGCACACCTTCCCCTGGAGTCTAAAGACTTTGTCCAGTTGCTACTATGGTAGGGAGTTAACTTCGAACCCCCTTCTCTTTATCATTTGTGGAATGTTTACTAGACACCTGACTGCTTCTGTTCATTTGTTGGTCTCAGTCCGCCGTGTCTTATTTCTAGGCTAGATTCCTAATCATGACACATGATTCCTTTCTTCCCCATCTCATAGTGTTTTAAAAATCCCTTTGGGTTATTATAAAACACTTTCTAAAAGGTCATCTAATTCTCTCATGTGTTCCCTCCATCGCCCACAGGTTTACGTGTTCCTTAAAGAACCCTGATGAATTAGGTGTAAAATCCCCTTACAAAATGAAGTGTCGACCCCAGTGAACGGTGCACTTCTCCTCTGGTGTAACTGTTTCAGACGGTCTCCTCTCTCGTAGAAACCACCAGCTGGGAAAATCAGAGTCCCTAGTCTGGAATAGCCAGGAGCCTTCCGCAACCGACGCGATAAATCCCAGTCACGTGGCAGTCAGCTCTCACAGCCAAGCACGCTGGGCGCCTGTAACCGGGAGAACAGTGAAGGGAAAGGAGAGGAAGGGAAGGTTTGGGGGTGGCGTCAAGAGGAGGAACACTTGCCCAGCCAGTGTGGCTCAGTGGTTGAGCGTCGACCTGTGAACCAGGAGGTCATGGTTCGATTCCCAGTGGGGGCACATATGTGGGTTGCGGACTCCATCCCCAGCTGGTCAGTGATTCTCTCTCATCATTGATATTTCTATCTCTCTCTCTCTCTCCCTTCCTCTCTGAAGTTAATAAAAATAAATATATTTAATAAATAAGTAAAAAGAGGAGGAACACTGGACCAAAAGCCCATTGCCAACAGCTGCCTCTGAGCATCATGTGGTGGTCCTAGGGCTGAAGCTTGCACCCCACCCCCCCCAAAAAAACCGGGGGCCGCAGCAGGGAGGAAGGTGGAATGAGTAGCTACAGTTGGTTGTCAGATGCAGCTGCTCACAGCCCTCCTGGGAAACCCCCGCTGCTTCCGACCCATCCAGCTCAGGTCTCCCGTTCTCTGAGCTCCGTTCCGGCCTCTGTGGGGACCCATTAGCAGACCAGCGAGGTGGACCTCCCGCCCTCGGGAATAGCGTGGAAAGCAGCTGCCTCCGGCTGGGAGGTGTAATGGCAGGGCCGGCCACTAGTTTATTTTTAGATGGAAAGTTGTTATTGAAGGGATTCTACTCTTTGCAGCCAGGGAGAAACATACGTGATGTGCTGAGAGCTGGGGCTGCCACTGGCTTCCCTTCCCTTCCCTTAGTAACCGCTGGGTTTGGGTTGATCCTTTCTAGGCTCACAAGTAAATGCAGCTTTGCGCTGGGAGCGGAGAGAGGGAAATGCCGTTTCCCAGACGGTTCGGAGGAGTGAACTCTGGTGCAAATACAGAACCTGTGAGCAGAGCCCAGTGGCGGGGACGTGGCTCTAAGACAGACGCAGGCCTGAGTCCTGGTGCTGGCGTTGAGTAAACTGGCCCTCGGGCAGGTGATCTGACCACCCCGCTGTTCCCACCCCTGCACAAGGGGTTACCCCGGAGCTGCCTCCGAGGTGTCTTTAGGGTTAGGGGAGATAGCGCCCAGCAAGCACCCAGGAAGCCCGGCACCCGCACCGGGCTCAGGACTGCTTGTCATGAATGCTGCTGCCACGAGTAACAGGACAGACGCTGCTGCACCTCCCAAATGCTGCGGAGCGCGAGGCTTGTCCCCACAGCGGCCGGCGGCCCGTTGCTGCAGCCTGGCGGGACTAGGTGATGGTCGCACCAAAGCGGATGCCTCTCTCCCTGGCTTCGTCACCTGTTTCCGCCTCTCTCTCTCATTCTTTCTCTCTCTCGGTCTTTCTCTTTGTTGTCATCACGTTGCTCTGCGCACTTGAAACAGAGTGTTTGGGCTGTTGTCCATCCGGCACAACCAGCAGCGGGGCAGTGGGGCCAGCTCTGCCCTCGCAGCCCCAGGCTCCCTCAGTCGTTAAAGCAGAGTCACTGAGGCCAGGGAAGCACTTGTGCACCGTGAGGTCCTCACAGACTGACTGCGCGCATCCCGAAATCCCACATGAGTCCCCACCCCTGCCCTGACCAGGGGGCTCTGGGTCAGGGCCCAGCTAACTGGCCAGGCGGAGGCAGCTTGGCCTGGAACTGGGAGGTGGCCTCCGGATTCAGCAGCCGCCTGGCCCCAGACCCCGCCCTGCCTGGGAGGGCCCTCTCTGCACTGAAGGCCACATCTGGGGGAGCTGGGAGGACAGAGACGATGGTGCCGAAGCCTGAGGCCGTGGCAGCCCTGGGAGTGCTGCACCTCCCAAATGCTGCGGAGCGCGAGGCTTGTCCCCACAGCGGCCGGCGGCCCGTTGCTGCAGCCTGGCGGGACTAGGTGATGGTCGCACCAAAGCGGATGCCTCTCTCCCTGGCTTCGTCACCTGTTTCCGCCTCTCTCTCTCATTCTTTCTCTCTCTAGGTCTCTCTCTATGTTGTCATCGTGTTGCTCTGTGCACTCGAAACAGAGTGTGTGGGCTGTTGTCCATCCGGCACAACCAGCAGCCGGGCGGTGGGGCCAGCTCTGCCCTTGCAGCCCCAGGCTCCCTCCGTCGTTAAAGCAGAGTCACTGAGGCCAGGGAAGCACGCGTGCACCGTGAGGTCCTCGCAGACTGACTGCGCGCATCCCGAAATCCCACATGAGTCCCCACCCCTGCCCTGACCAGGGGGCTCTGGGTCAGGGCCCAGCTAACTGGCCAGGCGGAGGCAGCTTGGCCTGGAACTGGGAGGTGGCCTCCAGACTCAGCAGCCGCCTGGCCCCAGACCCCGCCCTGCCTGGGCCCTGCCTGGGAGGGCCCTCTCTGCACTGAAGGCCACATCTGGGGGAGCTGGGAGGACAGAGACGATGGTGCCGAAGCCTGAGGCCGTGGCAGCCCTGGGAGCTCAGCAGTGCAGACTCTTGGAGAGGGGGGTGCTGGTCCCATTTC